TCTGCACTGTACTTCCATTTCTATATTAGTTTGTTGTTTATTCATTTGTTTAGCAGTACACGTAAGGCTTTTATCTACTATTTCCTAATTAGGGTAATATCGTCGTGTCTGTAGTATACTGTGTTTGTTGTTGTTTTGCTGTCAGCTGGCCACGTGTTCTGTCTGTTTGTTTTCAGGGTCTAGGGTGAATTTAATAATTATAATATACAGTATTTATATTAATAATAACTAAGATAATTAATAAAGTAGATAAGTAGAAAAAGTATAATTACCTAGTAAAGTAGTCAGGTTGTCAATCTTTAAGTAACAGATCTAGAGTTCAAATCCTAATATTAGTAAAAATTTGCAATTCTTTCTGTATTATAGTTAACTGTTTTCTGAAATTAGTTAAGATCAGATACCTGTTATTTGTATTATATTAGCATGTCTAAAATGTTACATGGCATTCATACAATCTTGTATAAAGGAACACAAACCAGTACTAAATAATATAAACATATAATAAGTTTTATAATCATGTAAATTACAAAAAATAAAAAGACAAAAGCTTACTTAAAAAACCTAAATAGAGAAATAATTCAAACTTTTGATAGTGCTATTATAAAAACTAATCTATAAAATAGTTTAGAATCTGTAAAGCTAAATAAAAACAAGTTAATCTTTGAAAAGAGATTGTTGCAACCAGTCAGACTACTAAGATTTGTTCTAAAAAAAAAGATTATATACTAGAGAACATATAAACCAAAAATATGATTTATCTATTGTTTTGAACTATTTAAACTGGAAGCTTGATAAAACTTGATTTGAATATCAAAATAATAGAAATATATTATAAAATAAGTATCAGGATTAAAATAAACTTTACAAAGACATAGTAGTTTAATAATATATCCTAACTGCAAGTGTTAGTCTTGATCATAATATTATTGATTTAACTATAAGAATGAAATACAAAAAATTCTAAAAAATTTAGTACAAAGTTAAAGGTTCTTATATAAACAACTATTTTAAAGATTTAGTAATCATAACATATTTGCATTAGTATTGACCAAAGCATTTTAATAGATATAGGTAGATACAGTAGATAGATACAGAAATTAGAGTGTTTAAATAAAAAACTTACAAGTAGGTTTTAGATATAATAATTAATATAAAACCTTTAAACAGATTATTTAAATTAGACAATAACTAAAGTTATATAAATAACTAATTATATATTTTTTTTTATAATAATATCTTATAGTTGTAATTCAACTATTAGTTAAATGTACTATTAATAAAATTCTAAATCACAAGTATTCATCTTAATATTTTTTTTAAAAAAAATAGATAAGTAGATAGATATAAAACTAAAATGTTTAAATAAAAAACTCAATTAGGTTTTAGATATAATAAACTTTTTTTTTAATATTAAAAGTAAGGTCATGTCTTTATTTTTATTAAAATTTAGTTAAACTTTTTATAAATAAAATATACAAAAAGAAGATGACAATCCTAGTGTAATAGTTGAATTGTTATCTTTTAAGTAGCAGGTTTAAGGTTCAAATCCTACTTATGACAAAATTTGGAAATTATATCTGCATTATAATAACTGTCTTCTGTCACTTAGTTGGCCTCATGTGACTATATCTCAGATACACCAAGTCAGGTTCTACTGATATTAGAAACTCAGAACATCTATGCAAAGTGTAATATTATATGTATATAAAGGTATATATAACTGGTATTGCATAAGACTTTGATGCAAACCCATGATAAGACCACTGGCATAGAAGACTAAAGAATTGAGATAATGAAAACCTATTTGAAAATTTCTAAGTAAAGAGGTAGCATAAACTTTTGACAGTATCATTAGACTGGTTGAAGTTTATAAAACATCTTTATAAGAACTAAAAGTTAAAACTAGTCATTAAATATATATAGAGGAGCATATAACCAATCAGGTTGCTAGATTTGCTAGAGAAAAAAAATACAGAAGTATATTATATTAGGTTATCTGAATTGGTAGTCTGGAATGAGACTGTCAGTTCTGAGCTGCTGCTAGTAGAAGATAATAAAGAAGATGTCAGAAAGATAGGTACTGATGTTCTAGTAAATTTTACAAAAGTAGAAATAGTATAATATAATAATTAAACAGATAACCCTTATAACTACAAGTGCTAGGTAACTATAGTGCATTATATAAAATTAGGTTAATATATATAAGATATAAAGACTTTAGTAAGTTTCCTATCAAGAATAAACTAGTTCTAAGAGTAATGACAAGTATTAAGAACTTGGATGGATGTAGTTTTGAAATGTTCTTGTAATATAAGAAGAATTGTATATACAAAAGATTTAAATAGACAAGATCTTTAGTTAGCTTGCAAGTATAGCAACTAGTATAGAACTTATATAATAATATGTAAGCAGACTACTTAAATTAGATACCAAAAATGTACATATAACTAGTTGTAACTTTCAATATAAGGTGGGTCTCTGGTGACATGCCATGTCCTAATATACTTGAATAAAAATATCACATTCCTAAGATAGAGACTTTAATTATAAATATAAATATATATATATACAAAAAAATTTTATATTTAAATTTTATATTTATAAAATATTAAGATTAAAAGCTCAAACAAGTTATTTATGATTTAAACCTAAATATAATAAACTTCTTAAATAGATAATATAAAAAATTGTATATATAATTAGATATACTTTTATTTTGTAATAGTTTTAAATATATAAACATTATATTTTAAAAAAATATTAATAAAATCAATAACTAAAAAATGTTATCTTAATATTGAAAATAAATAAATTTATTAAAGATTTTTTTAAATATTAATTATATTATTCTTAGTTATTTAGTTTTAAAAAAATTAAATAATTTTTAATATAATTAAATGTTATGTATTATATATATAAATTTTAATGCTAAAAACTTTTGCTTAAAAATCAAAACATGATTTTTATAATAAAATTTTAAACTATTTAAGTTATTTGTTTATTTTAATTATACAAGATCTGGTAATTTGATTAGTTTTTATATAGTACAGAACAGTAAAAAACATCCAATCAATACATATAGGTGCCAATTTTTGGTTCTTATATAATCAATTTTGATTGGCTAATTTTTGTGTAATTGATTTTGATTGGTTAAAAATATATATATGTTTTCTTTTTTTTTATATTAAATGCCAATTTTTTAAACTCATATAAACTTTAATCTTTTATAACTTTTTTAAAACAAAGAATAAAAAAAATCCTTTGACAGAAATGTAGTTTATCCAAAAATCTATTAATTTGTCAAAGGTTTTTTTGATTTAACCTGTTTTAAAAAAGTTATAACACTTCAAAGTTTTTATTAATAAACATTGGGTGTCTTTTACTGTCCGGTACTGTACAACCAGGTAATATCACCTAGGATGAAAATTAGCAATAATCAAAAATCAATTTTTTGCAAATCTTTTTTTTTGCCAATTTGGTTTCTTTTTTCAAAACATAGCCCATATATACCTTATGCTAATCATGTGGATTTCGATTATGTGATTGGTAATTTTAAAATGGAAGGTTTTGATTGGCTGATGTTGACGAACAGATGCACTTTAATATTGATTAGATGTCCAGTACTCTAATTCTTCAAGTTGATTTTCTTTTAAAAAAAAAATCAATAACCTACTGTTCTGTTTTGCTATAGGAGCCTTCATGTGATAATTAGTAAAAATGATCAATTGCTTTAATTATTCGTTATTGGGTAGTTTATTAGCGTTGTCCGGAGCGAAGCGCGCTTTGATATCCGAAATTGCGACTTTGATGCTTTTATAACAGAAATATCAAAAATGTGTTTCGTCTGTAACACCCCTGAAAAATTTGGTCTGCGACATATATAACCAGATTCTTCAGGGGCTGAGGTCATTAATTGAACACTTTAGGTTTTTTATAATACCGATACTAAATGTGAAGATTTAGCATCGTTCAATTTTACCTTCAAGGAATCCGAATAGAGCGTAGACTTGTACTGCAAACGATTATTAAACAAACAAGGCAACTTTATTGCGAATGATGAAATTTGGTTCAAAATCGCACCTGAAATTTCACGAGAACGAATTAAATGTATTGTGTTCTGTAATATGTCATCGTGATTTAATTGTACATTTGGCATAGCATTCACATATCACATATCACCTAAGTTTCGATACCCTAATAACGCATAGAATCACAAAAAATGAAAAGAGAACCGATTTGTGAAAGACAAGAAAACAGGTACTGGTGAAAAAAACGATAACGTATTAATTATTTTAACATCGATGCATAACCAACACGTTTTTTTAATATAAAAAGCTCGAACACCTATATACAAAAAATTTTTTTTAAAAAATTGTGGGTGATCTCATTCCAAAACAATTCACCCATATTTTTATAATTAAACATAATTTTTACGAACGTATCCTATATACAAAAAAGAAATGCAATTGATTATTGGTACAAATTATATGCCAATGACATATCAAAATGAAATCACATTAGAAAGAGGGAATAATTTTATGTAATGGGAAAAATAAGTTACAGTTAATTTTTTCTGACACCGTTTAAAGCAAGCTTTAATAGCTCATGGGTACGGTCACATTATTTTGGCTATGGGAGGAGAAGAAGCGTGCCCAAAATAATCTCTATTATGTACGAATGACGAATCGGAGGAGTCCTGAGCGGTTTGCCTTACATTGCTGCTAATACTAGGGACTATGATACCACCATAATGGTAACCAGGAGGCCGTTGATTTCTTGATGAGGATGGTGCCGCAGAGCTAATACACACCGTTTCATTTGGCGAAGCCGTAAAGGACAAAGAAGATCCGCAAGAACCTTCAAATTTTCCAATTACCGGAGAGGCTCCTCTTCTGTTCGCTGAGGGGAGTGGTGGCGAAGATAATCCACCAACCAAAGTTGGAAAGAGACCCCTTATATGAGGCGGGATGAATATAATCCGATTCTTTCCTGATGACAACACACATTTAATGATTGTTGGAGCGAGCGAGTCAGGGATTTCGTCGTAGAAATTCGGCGCATTATCGAACAATTTGTATACAACGAATTTTGTGTATTCAAGTTACCTTTGTGAACACGAAAATATTCACGAGCTTGTTCTAAAAGCTCGTGAGCCGATGTCGCATTTGGAAAGATTTGGCCTGATATTAAATATCAATTATGGGATCAATTATACTTGAGCAACAGAGCAGGAAAAAAAAAATGATAAAAAAAAACCAATACAATGTTTCTATTATTATGTTGTAAACTAAGCACAAAGGCCAGATGAAAATAGTAAAGGTAAAAAATTGAATTCACTGAATAATCAAAAATATATACAAATAATTTACTAGAAAAAAAGTCCCAAGATCACTAATGTAACGAATGTCTAAAAAGCCTTTTTAAATTAAGTTTTTAAGGAAATTAACAAATATTACGATAAGACATACAGTTTCTTCGCAAATTTAATTCACTAGCACGTCTATGCCGTAAGCTTTTTAATTCTTCAAAAGTACCTTCCCCCGGCTCTGTTGTGCCATCTCTCCAAGGTCGTTTGATTATAACATCAGCATCATTTGCTGGACTTTCAATCACTGTGTTTATATCACCATAAGTAACACCACCTATCAAGTGAAAAAAAAGAAGTTAAGGCTTTGATTATGAATATATTGTAAATATTGAAAAAAAATTTTTCCGATCAACATATTTAAAATAAATAAAATATTGACCCCCACATTCAAGTACCTTGAGCCACTCTCACCAAGATATTTTTACGAAATCTTGAAGCAGCATCGCCCTTTAACATATTTCCTTGTTTTGCTTTCAATCTTCGAACCAACAATATTCTACTGGTGACTGCAGCAAAGTTCTCTTGTGGCAACGCAGAAGTCGTAGTCCTGGGTGGTTCAGCGGTACGAAACTCGTTTTCTTCAGGATCCCATTCAACTGCAAGATAATTTTTACATGAAAATTGAGACGAGAAATGAGGGCAATTATGTATTTTTCGTCGTTTTGAGAATTCAGAAGGGACCAAACTAACAGGAGTTTGTCTAGACATTGGCGAAACAACAAAAGCCGAAGTTGAAAAGTCACATTTTCTTTTTAGCTTTGGTTCACCACCAAATACTGGCCACCAGCCATTGCTATTGATGATATACTGTTGAAGTTTTAGAGAATCAGTCGGTGGCTTAGGTATTTGTGGTTTTTGCTGAGATACTAGCGATGTCCATTCTGACCAACTCTGTGTGAAATAATTTGATGATAAAGTGCCCGTTTGCGGTGACTCATTTACATTTACTTCGGGCCTTTGTTGTATACCCCCAGGTGTTATGAAAGAGTTTGGTGCCATTGTATAAAGGACCGAAAAATCCTAATGACTTTGCGACGGTATTGACGTATTGACGGTATTACGATAGTTAAAAGAACAATTAGCACCAAGATAAACTACGGAAGAACAAGCTAAGTCGTGCCTGAAGGTAAAGAACTCGATAAGTCAACTAAGAGTAGAAAGATCTTTATGTAAGCAGTAATTACCAAAAAAGAGGGAAGGAAAAAAAGAAATCTAGTTAAATTATAAGTAGGTGGAGGTTATGCGATCCCCCTTGATGCTAAAATCCAAACATCATAAAGCTGCATTTCAAGTAGCACAATGCAGAAAAATCGGAACCAGAAATTGAAGGTAAACAGGATTTTGGTTTCGCAAGAAAAGAAATATGGCCTCATGGGGCGTTGAACTAACTCAAATCATGTTAAACAAATCTGCACGTTAGAGTCATTAATGATCCTAAAATTCTATCATTATTCATTAAAAAAAAACTAATAAACTTCATTATATCTCGAGAAAAAAACTCCTAATTAAATTCGTGATCTTTTGTTTTTTTTCACTACTGTTACAACTGTTACATTGATGTATACATGTTTATAAGAAGTGTTACACGAAGAGCAAACCAGACAACCAGACAAAGTAACACTTCTAGACAATTGCACGTCAAGAATTACAGCTTGAACTTCGCTTAATTTATTGCGGATTTAGATTTAAGATTTTGGGGTGAGGGTGCGGATTCATATAAGATAAACTCTGCCCTAAAATTTCAATTTTACGTACGTATTAAAAAATTCCAAATCTAAAAATTTTTTCCCACTTACTAATTTTTATAAAAACTTTCAAACATACAAACTTAATAATCGGTTTTCATGTTTTAAACTGACCCGGCAACCCGGCTTTTAATTTTATTTTCAAATTTATATATAAAAAACTCACCCGGATATTAAGTATACTTGAAATTTTTTTTTAGAGTTTTGTAAATTTTGACATGGTCGGGTTATGAAAACCGATTTATTAAGTTTGTATGGCCTAATTCTTTGTAATAAAATATTTTAATTATGACGACAATAATTTATACTGCATCTTAGTGACCTGAACCAATTAAGCCTTAATCTGGTAAACGAACTGAACCGAAACAAATTCGGGCCAACCGGTTTTAATCCGATACAATCGGTTAACCTAGCATAATTAATCGGTTAACTCGATATAATTGACTAGTCTGGCATAATCGGTTTTTTTTTTTTTTTTTATGTTAAACTAGCTTCTTTTGGAACTGGGGTTTTTTATTCAGTATAGTCAGGATATAGGGACTCACGGCCAAGGTCTCAAAGGAGTCACCTTACATTAGAGAGTACAACTAGTTACATGTACACTTTTGGTGTCTAATTAAGTAGTCCGCCAATGGTTCTACACTAGCTACCATACCTGCAATCCAACTAGGGATGTTGCTTATTTAAACCTTCTGTACTGCAACCCTTACTGTATTATTAGATCATCTCTGCTACATAAGTTAGTCAAGAAGATCTAGATGCTTATCTATATCCTTAAGACCTTATATCTTATTTTATACAGTGTATCCTCAGAAGCATCGTTACTAGAGTCTTTCATGTCTTACATATAGCTAACCTAGTTTTATGTAACATGCTATAGTTACCTAACACTTGCAGTCAGGGTTAATCTTAAACTGTTACATTACATTATTTTTACCTTTGTAAAGTTTACCTAAACCTTGGTACTTAGCTTGGTATGGTATATCTTAGTATTCTTTTTCTCTAGCAAATGCAATGGCCTGGTTGGTCATGTGCTCTTTTACATATCTTGATGTCTGGTTTTAATTTTTGGTTCTTATGAAGATGTTTCATGATCTTCCATCAGTCTAACAGCACTGTCGAAAGTTTGTGTTACCTTTTTATTCAGGAATTTCAAAGTGGAATTCTGTCTTCTCAGTTCCTTAGTCTTCTACGCCCAGTGGTCTTATCATGGATTTGCACCAAAGTTTTATGCAATACCAGTTATTAACATTCCTCTATGTACATGTAAACACTTCGCATAGTTGCCTCGAGCTCCCAATGTCAGTAGGACCCTGACTTGATGTATCTGAGTTACAGTTGTATAAGACTAACCAATTGACAGAAGACAGTTTCTGTATCACAGATATAATTTTTAAAATTCGTCATAAATGAGATTTGAATCTTAGACCTGTCACTTGGAAGATGACAACCCAACCATTACACTAGGATCACCATCCTCTTATAATCAGTTATTTAATTAATGTAAAATTTATAAACAGATAATATTAAGTCATACAAAATTAATTAATTGGTTTTCATAACCAAATTTTGAAAGTTTATAAATAGGTTTTTAAAAAAATATATATATTGGGTCTGGGGTCTGTAGTTTAGTAATTAAGTATTTAGATCTTTACAAACAAGGTTAATAATTCAAGATAGATTGAAAGCAAAACTAGGTTTTGTTTTTATAACTTTAAAGAATCAAATAATTGAATGTAAAGTCTTATAAAACAAGTTCAAATACATGTATGAATTTAAATAAAAAAATTTTTAGAATAAGATCTAATTGTAAGAAGTAGATATTATATATAATAGCAATATTACAAAAGGTTCTAGTTATATAAGTATTATATATATAAGTCTTTGAAGTAAAAAAATAGTATTAATATTTGGTATTTTTTAGTTAAGACAGTATTAACATTTCTGTATTTAACTTGTAAGGTATTTGTTTGAAAAAATAATTATTAGATTAAACAAAGAATTTTTACTAAAATGTATAAAAGCAGAATTTGATTAAAAGTATGATTTAAAGTAGTTAAAACTAGAATAGCAAAAAAAGTAATAAACACAAGAATTAATTATAATAAAAAATTAAGTTTATTAATAAGAACTATTTTTGGTAAACTATAATAAAAATATTATAAAAGGTTAATAATTTTAAGATTTACTAACCTTTGAAATCTATAAATTTTTTTTTTTTTTGTATTAAGATAACCTTTTTGGTCTTTTGACTTTGATTAACAACTTTTTTGATAATGTGATTTTATAAACTATTACAAAAAGAATGTATAATTAGTTATATGTATAACTTTTTTATATTACCTATTTAAGAAGTTTATTCAAAATTCTTTACCAATTGCTATATCTAATACTTCTGCTTAAATGTTCTATTTTAAATTTTTTAAACTTGTATCTGTATTAATATTACTAAGTTATATTCAGGCTATTGTCTTAACTTAAAATTATTTAATTCTTAAGATAAACTTTTTAAAGCTTTCTGTACTTATTTTTATAACTAATCTAGTATTACTATAACAGAATTAATACTTGTAATTAAAGCTAACTATTAAACTACTATGTTTTTACAGAGTATATTTAAACTTTAATACTACTTTACAGTATATCTAAATTATTTAATATACTCTGTATTGTTACTAGGCTTTTAATCTAGATAGTTCAATATGATTATAACTAGTTTATTAATATATTAGATCAGTTTAATATTTTTTTTTTTAATTTATTCCAATATTCTAGTTGATAGTATCTTTATTTAGAAGTTTTTATTTATTTGGCTTTTTTATATTAATATCTGTTTTCTAAGACTAATTTTTATAGTAATATTATCAAAATTTCATGCTACCTTTTTGCTTAGGTCTTTTCAAATAAACTTCTTGTTTCTTAATTTCAACAGATTTATATAATTATAAAAACTTATCTAAAATTTGTATTATCTAATATCAATTTGTATTTCTTTATATAACTAGTTATACAAATACTCTATAACCTGTTAGTTATGCTGATATGATTACTATTATAGATATCTTAATTTAATCATTGAAAACAATTGTTATAATACAAATATTACATAGGTAATTATCTAAATTTTTATTGTTAATAAGATATAAACATTTAATTTACTACTTAAAGAATTGACAACTTATTCATTTCACTAAGTTACTACATCTTTGATTTGTAAATTTATTTTAATATAATATCATTAAGATTAATATAACTTTTTAAATATGAGAATAGTAATTCTAGTATAATGGTTAGGTTGTCATTCTCCAAGTGGCAGGTCTAAGATTCAAATCTCATTTACAATGAAATTTGAAAATTAATCTGTATTACAGAAAACTGTTTCTTGTTAATCGATTAGATTTAGGTATTTGTAATTTTGAATACAACTAATCAGGTTCTACTTATCATTGAAAGCTCAGAACATCTATAAAAGTATAACATTATATGTATATAGAGCAATATTAATAACTAGTATCATATAAAACTTTGATGCAAACTCATAATAAGACTACCAGATATAGAAAACTAAAAAACTAAAAAGATGAAAACTTATTTAGAAATTCCTAAATAAAGAAGTAGTACAAACCTTTAACAGTACTATCAAACTGATAGAAGCTCAAGAAATTTAGATTCTAAGTTAGATAGTAGAAAAATGAAAAGAAGAAGTCAAAAAGTTAGATACTGGAATTTGGATAAACTTTACAAAGATAGAAATAATGTAATATAGTAATTAAACAGATAACCTTTGTGATTGCAAGTATTAGATAACTATAGCATATTATATAAAACTAGATTAGCTATATGTAAGACATGAAAGGCTCTAGTAATAATGCTTCTTTTTTTTTTTTTGGTGTTAAGGTGAATAATAATGCTTCTAAGAATATATTATATAAAATAAGATATAGGTTTTTAAGAGTATAGATAAAAGTATCTAGATCTTCTTAACTAATATAGGTATTAGAGATAATTTAGTAACATAGTAGAAATTGCAGTACAGAAAGTTTAAATAAGCAATGCTCTTAGTTGGGTTGCAGATATGGCAGCTAGTATAAAACTATTAGCAGACTACTTAAATTAGATACCAAAAGTGTACATATGACTAGTTGTATTCTCTAATATAAAGTGACTTCTTTGAAACCTCAGCTATAAGTTCCTATATCCTAACTTACTAAATAAAGCTTTAGTTTCAAAAGAGACTAGTTTAATATTTCTTCA